AAAGATGGGAATGATTTGAGGATGAACCTGGCCAGGTATGTTGGCACACCCATGTAATATCAGTGCTCAGGGAGGCTGAGACAGGTGGATTGCAAGTCTGAGCCCAGCCTGAACAATTCAGCAACTCCATGTGACCTTGTCTCAAAATAAATAAAAAAGGGCTGAAGATACAGCTCAGTGTATGTATAGGTCCTGGGTTCAGCCCCAGGTACTGGGGGAGAAGTTAACCATTCACCAGTAAGGTCTCTGTGGCGCTAGCATCCAGGAATTAACTAATTCCTGAGCATTGTGTGATAGTAGAGTTGCTTGGAAGTAAAGAAACTGAAAGGGAACTGAGAGATACAAAGGACACCAAAAAGATACAAAAGAGCAAAGATACAAGAGATACAAAAGAGATACAAAATAAAGAGACAGGAATGGTAGTACAGAACTTGCTGTATTTTGCAGTCTGAAATATTTTTTACTAGAAACAGTCTGAAAGAGGCCTGGAGTTTGAGACCAGCCTGGGCTGCAAAGTGAGCTCAAGGCCAGCCTGAACCGCCTAGCAAGACCCTGTCTCAAAAAGACAAAAAAAAAAAAGAAAAAAGAAAAAGAAAAAGAGGTCTTGGGAGCTTTCCTGTGACTGTCGGGTGAATCGTGCTTTCTACAAGACTGAACTTCCTTGATTTATTTTATTATATAAGACCTGGCACTATTTGGTCTGCCACGTGCTGTGTATATCTGTCTCCCCCTGAACTGCGGAAGGCGGTGCTCTCTGTCTGTCACCCTAACGACACAGAGAACCCAAACTGTGAGAGAACCACCCTTGGCAGTACTCAATATCCTTTTACTAGACCTTACTGCCAAGTTAGTCCTTAATACCCAAGATGGAAGTAAAGATGGTAAGGACCAAACTCCTTTTTTTTTTTTTTTTTTTTGAGAAGGGGTCTCACTAAGTTGCCCAGGCTCCTCTTCCTCCCGAGTACTGGAATTACAGGTATGCACAGCCAGGCCTGACTGTATTGCCTTTAAAAAAAACTTGTATCATGAATAATTGCTGACTCACTGAAGCTTCAAAAAATTATGTAGAGTTTTCTTGTAGCTTTTACCTGATTTGCTTATAGATAGTATCCTGTCTAATCGTAATGTACCCATTTAGATTGGTACAGTATTGTTAATTAAGCTTTAGAGTTTGTATAAAGTTCCGCAGTTTTTTTCTGATGCCGTTTTTCTGTGTAGGACACCATCCAGATGCCTTCCTTACCTTTGTCGTCCCTCCTTGGTCACCTTCAGTCTGTGACAACTCAGTCTTTCTGTGCCCTCTGAACCTTGACAGTTTTGAAGAATTTTGTTATTCATAATACTAGAATGTCTCTCGGTTTTATTATGTGTTGTTTTCTTGTGCTTTGATTGATTTTTTTTTTTTTTTTTTTTGTCTTTTTGAGACTATGCAGTTCAGGCTGGCCTTGAGCTCACTTTGTAGCCCAGGCTGGTCTGGAACTCACAACGATCCTCCTGCCCCAGCCTCTGGAGTGCTGGGATTACAGGTGTGTGCCACCACGCCTGCCACCACACCCTGGCTTTCTTGTGTTTTGATTGAGAATGAAGTTAATGTGTCTTATTTTTGACTTTAAAGTTGTTATCTCTCTCCTGTTATCAGTTAGCATTCAAGTACTCTCTTTCTCCTTAACTTTCATCCAGTAATTACACCCATCAGTCAGCCTCGCCTGCAGCAGTGAGTACTGTTCTTTCCCCTTTTTCCTTCTCCTCCTCCTACGGAAAGGTTTTGTGCGGAAGAGTTGCCCACTTTCCCCTTAATTTATGTACCCAGTTTTGTCAGTGTTTGGTTGTGGGTGTGTAGTCTTTGGACTGAAATGCAGTGCTATTTCTTTTGTTGCTTAAGTTAGTCTAGCTGTAGCAGTGAGGAGCTCTGTAAGCTGGCTCCTGTGATCCTTTGACATTCTTTCCTTGTTTTTTCAGTCTTTTGCTAATTTTCTGCTACTGCCAAACACTCACATTTTCCTTTCCCCCGCTTGGTACCAACCCCTTCTCCAGGGAGGCTTGGCTTTTTCATTGGGAATGGTATTTGGAGATCAAGTTTGAGCACTTTAGATATGAGTTTGTTATTTTTTAATTGATAAGTTATTATAAATATTATTTTAAGGTTTTGAGTATGTACCAGAAACAATCCTTGGCAGTTAATATCTCAGAGAATTGTTTGCTTATTATCAGTTTATAAAATATACGCCACGTACACTCCTAGTGGTAGGAAAACACAAAAATAAAAGACTGATAGTGGGGTTTTCAGAAGAAAAGCAGAGAAACAAAACTACCAATCCCATGAAATGACAGAGCAATTTTGAGAGAAAAATATCTTTTTTTTTTTTTTTTTTTGACTTTTTGAGACAGGGTCTCACTATGCAGTTCAGGCTGGCCTTGAGCTCACTTTGTAGCCTAGGCTGGTCTCGAACTCATAATAATCCTCCTGCCTCAGCCTCCCAAGTGCTGGGATTACCACGCCTGGCTAGGTTGTAGAATTTTATTTATTTATTTGGTACTGGGAATTGAACTCATGACCTCAGGCTTGCCAGGCAAGCGCTTATGCCGCTGAGCTCTATCCCCGGCGGAGAGAAGAGTATCTTGAAAGATGCCAGGTCTCACCTTGGAAGTCCCATGTTGTTTCCGAAGCCATGTTCATTGTCGGGATAGGTGTGATGTTACCCTCTGGGGTAGGAGCCCTGAGTGCCAGCCTGGGTGTTACTCCATTTCCAAGTGGAGGTTTTCTTCTGTCCTCTGGAGCTAGCAGGGCTTGGGAGGAGCGTGTGGCTCCCCTGGCCTGGTGCATTGGAGGCTCAGCTGCCTGGCGGCCTCGCGGTGGACGTGCTCTGTGCTCCGGCCAGTGCTGGCTTGCTTGCTTGGATAACCCCGCCTTTCTGTTCTGTGAGGCTGAAGTCCCTGAAGGAGCCGCGTGTGTTCACGGGTCCCGCGGAGCGGAACATCGCCCTGCGGAGACAGCGCGTCCGGGTCTAGAGCCACAGCTGCCCCGCGCTGTCCCGGGTGCTTTAGGAGCACAGCCTTGTGCTCTCCCCTCTGCCGGGAGGGGTGTTCGTGTGACCTGCCGCCAGGTGGAGCTCCGGGAGTGGATGTGGAGCTGAGCCCGTGTTGCTTTGGGTCTGCGGGAAAGCCAGGCCTGGCCTCCCTCAAGTCGGGAGCTGCGCATTCTGTCAGGTGACCCCGGAGCCTGAAGCAGGGGCCCCCTCCCTGCGCCCCAGCAGTGCCGGGTCAGTGGTGGCTCTGCTCTTCGGCTGTAAAAGTTCCTCCGCCTTGCGCACAGCTCCCAGGGTCATTCAGATCCTGTTCCCAGGCCTCGGTCCCGTGTGGGGCTCGGGGTAAACGATTTCTGATTTCCTTTAAGCAAAGTTATTATTTGGTGCGGACAGTTCGGTCTGTGCCAAAGATGGATCTTGGACCATCTGATGCTCAGGCAGTCAGTTCTGGCGGCACATGTCTAAGGACGAGAGTGGGAGTGGGCGTGGCCTTCTTACCCTGAGCACAGGAAGGCTCCCCTTTCTCCTGCCTGTATCCGTCTGGCCAGGTAGCTTGTGTTTCTTTCCCGAAGGGAGCCTTCGTTCTTCTTGTTCTTGTTCAAAGGCTTCCACAGGGTGGGGACCAGGCCTGGCATGCGGCCCGTTGGAGCCACCCAGTGTCCGAACTGCAGCCTCCCAGTTCTGCTCTCTCCTTTTTCCTGACTGGTTTTTTTGTTTGTTTTTAGAAACAGAGTTTCACTATACAGTCCAGGCAGGCCTTGAAATCAGGGCACCCCTCCAGCCTCAGCCTCCCGAGTGCTGGGCTTTCTGGCAGTTTTGACCAGGTTGGTCTCCTGAGTCTCCATAGGACTTTTAGGATCAGCTCAGCAGTTGCTGTAAAGAAGTCATAGGGATTATGTTGAATCTGTGGACCACTTTGTGGACTGTTGCCATCTTAATCCCTTGACATGGATGTCTTTCCATTACTTTCTTTTGACAATGTTGTGTAGTTTTCAGAGTGTACATTTACATGTCTTTTGTAAGTTAAACTCTTTCTCAGGCTGGTAAGTTTTACTCTTTTTCACGCTGTTGCACATGGTGATGTGTGGCCTGTGGCACAAGCTTCTTTTCAGATGTGAAGAAACAACATTTGGAGAAAGCCCAAAATGCGCTGCTGTGGGCATCGTTACCATCCCGTTTTACTCAGTGCGGCCACAGGTTTCCAGAGCAAAGGTGACCACATGAGATTCCACAGCTCCTAAGTGGGGAGCTACATTTGGAGCCAGATCTCAGTTCTGTGTCTGTGCTCTTTGTACTACTGTACTATCTCCTGAAAGAGGCTTGAACTCTTAACTGCATTTGTTTTGCTAAATCTTTTTTTTTTTTTGGTCTTTTTGAGGCAGGGTCTCCCTATACAGTTCAGGCTGGCCTTGAGCTCACTCTGTAGCCCAGGCTGCTCTCGAACTCACAGTGATCCTCCTGCCTCAGCCTCCCAAGTGCTGGGATTACAGGCATGCGCCACTACACCTGGCTCTAAAAATATCTTTTTCTTACATTTTTTTTCAGTGTTAGGGATCAAATCCTGGGCCTCAGGCATGGTAGGCAGTTGCTCTACTACTAGCCATACCTCCAGCACCCCCTGACTGGACCATCTCCAGATGGATCAGGAGGGGCACACACACCAAGCCGAGAAAACATCCCAGGTCACCTGAGATCTGAGATGCTGGCAGGAATTACAGGAAACCTGTCGATCTGCCCGGGGGAATTGGAAGCTTTACTGTGCCAGGTCTTCCAGTATATGAACATGGTCTGTTTTTCAGGTCTTACTTGACTTTTTTCATTAGCAGTTTGTGCTTTTAGCCTTATCCAAGATTCTCTGTGACCTGGGATGTTTTCTTGGCTTGGTGTGTGTGCCCCTCCTGATCCATCAGAGATGGTCCCGTCAGCAGGGTGTAACAGCGCCATGTGTGATGGGTGTCGTTTCCTTCTGAACAGGCATGCTGTGACTTCGGTCTCTTACCATTGATGTGTGATGTCCCAGCAAATGGCAGTGTTCTCTGTGGTGCTGAGAAGACACCCTGGGGCGCTGGCAGTGCTCTGGCAGCGGTGCAGACCAGGTTTGCACGCAGCTGGGTAGACTGAGCAGGAGCGATGCCCCCAGGCCGGTGGTACGAGGTCCCTGCAGTGCAGGCCCCAGCTCCCAGGGAGCGAGGGCGCCTTCTGACGGTGAAGAAAGAGGAGGAGGACAAAGGCTATGCCTCGGTGCAGACTGCCAGGCCGCAGACACTCAACCGCCCCGGCCAAGAGCTCTTCCGCCAGCTCTTCCGCCAGCTTCGCTACCACGAGTCTTCCAGCGCCCTGGAGACGCTGAGCCGGCTCCGGGAGCTCTGCCGCTGGTGGCTGAGGCCGGACGTTCTCTCCAAGGCCCAGATCCTGGAGCTGCTGGTGCTAGAGCAGTTCCTAAGCATCCTGCCGGGGGAGCTCCGGACCTGGGTGCAGCTCCATCACCCTGAGAGTGGTGAGGAGGCCGTGGTGGTACTGGAGGAGCTGCAGCAGGATTTGGAGGGCTTGCCACGAAGGGTGAGTGTGAGCAGCTGTGGTCCCCACCGCGTGCTGCTGCCAGGGGTGGGGCAGCCTCTGGTCTGCAACTTGGGGTGCAGGGAGGCCTCCCCTTCCCATTGTAGGGGCAGTGGAGCTGTAGTGAACAGGGCTTTGAGCTGTGGGTCGGCAAGTGCCTGTGAGTTACAGTGGATGCCGTGTAGAGAGGCCCGCTCCTAGTGTCTCCTTGGGCAGAAGGGCACTTAGGGCAGGATGCAACACGTAGGATGGAGCATCCAAAAGCAGGCTCTCTGTGCTGTGCTGAGGACCTGTTTGTGGATAGATAGATAGATAGTGTGGGTAGCTCTTGGTCGAGCTGCACGGACTTAGAGACCAGAGTGCTCTGAAGTCCCAGGGCAAGGGCCTGCTCTGCCCTGGTCTCTGCCCAGATGGGCATTGTCTGTTTTTGCACCTGAGACTCTTCTAGGCTTCCGTGGCCGACCCACAGGAGCAGCATCACCCCTGATGTGTTACCGTCCCCTTCAGGTTTGCAGTGGGGAGCTCGCTTCCTGCGAGGTCACTGCTGTTGCTGCCTAGGACGGTGTTTGGCAGTGGCTGCTACGGGCCGGAACCTGTCTGTCTTAGGAACCAATTTCGTTTCTCAGTTCCAGGCCCCAGGGAGGGGACAAGAGCTGATGGGGAGGGGTCACTGTGGCATCCAGGGACTGACTTCGGTTCTACATGGACCAGCTAGCTTGTCCTTAGGTGAAGTGAGGTTCACTGACTCCTTGGGTGCCCCCATCCCCAAGCAGGTGGGAGGAGCCTCTGAGCGCTGCTCCTTGCATGGCCCCTGCTGCCTGGAGGTAACGGAGGGGCCTCTGCCCTGTAGAGACTAGCAGTGTGGCCTCCTGCCTGAGTCCAGTTTCTGACTCCCCAGGGACCCTCTCCTACTTTCTTCCGCAGGACCCAGGCCTTGACCCGAGCCCGGATGTACACTGGATGGGCACTGCGGCCCTGCAGTCCTCGCAGACCTGGCCCTCTGTGTCACCGCTCCGGAGCAGCTCTGCTCCCGGACACCCGCTGGAGCCCCCCTGCGCAGTAGGAGTGGGTGACATCCTGGCTGGGCCACCCGGTACTCACTGACCTCCCGCCACCCCTCCACCTCCTGAGGGTCGTCTCGTCAGTGTCCTTCCCTATGCAGGCCTCTCTGTGCCCCTCAGCTCGGTGTCCTTTACATCTTCTGTGACCTGCGTCTGGCTGGTTCCCCCTCCATTGCCCCCACTGCGTGGCCCCCAGGGGACACAAGGACCTGTCAGTGGGGAGTTTCACAGCAGAGTCCTCCAGGACTGGGCAGGGGTGGGCTTCTTGGTGGGGTGTCCGTGCCAGGCAGTTCTTTCATGGCTCACTCTTCTCTCCTTCAGATCCTCCTGCCGCCCTGGCACCTTCCCTCTCCCAGAGCGAGGCGACCCCAGGAGCCTGGACTGCAGCTACACGGTCCCCGATGCCAGAGCCACAGGTAAGCTTGGCCCTGCTGATGGCTTGCCTCCTATCGTGGCATCTCAGAGACCCCACTGCCCCGCGAGCCCCGAGCTCCTCTCCTGCCCATGGTCCTTTGCTTTTGCTGGATCTGCCCTCTGCCCGTGCAGAGCCGGCACACTCTCCGCCCCCATGCAGGCTGGGAGGTGGGGATCAGCGCCAGTGTTTCTGTAGGAGGCCACAGCTTTCAAGGACGTGGAGGTGACCTTCTCCCAGGACGAGTGGGGGTGCCTGGACTCGGCCCAGAGGAATCTCTACAGGGATGTGATGCTCGAGAACTACGGGAACTCGGCATCTCTGGGTGAGCTGCTGACACCCCACACGGCCAGCGCCTGGCTTCACATTGGCGTTAATAGTGCATGCAAGGGAGTCTTCCTTGGTGCAGATCCTGGCTCTGTGATCACGTCATCTGTTACCACACTGTCCTCCTCTAAAAAGTGGGGATAATCACGCCTTCCCTGCTGGGTTATTGTAAAGATTGAAGATGTTTCAAGTTCCTGGTCTTTGAGAAAATGTCAGCATCCTAAAACTGTGTGCTGACCTGACCAGCAAAGCAGTCCCAGCTCCCACTCGGGTGGTCCCGGCAGCCCTGGTGTCTGACTTTTGTCAGCCCCTCCTTTCTGTGTCTGCTCAGGGTTAGCAGAAATGGCTGTCTGGGCTCCTACCGTCCTCCTCCTGCCCCTACCTGGCCCTCAGGCGAAGACCCTAGTGAGATGACCTGTGTGACCCGTCTGCCTCCCATCCCTTCTCTTCTCTTTGCAGCGGGGTCCTTCCCCAAACCTGCCCTGATCTCTTGGTTGGAAGCAAGGGGGCCCTGGGGGCTGAATGTGCAGACGGCTCGGCCTAAGAGGCTTCTGGATTCTACCCCTACAGGTGAGTTCCAGGGAGCGGCCTGGCCCTGCCCCTCCTGCCTGCGCCCTTCTCTCTCAAGTGCCAGTAATCTCTGGAACTGCTCCGTCACACATGCCAGAGAAGACTAACCAAGGGAGCTGGCCCTGGCCTCTGCCCGGCTGGCTGAGATGGCTGTCTGGCCCTGTTCCTCAGTGACCTTCCCACTGAAGGTTTCACCGTCCTCTCCCCTGCTTGTGGGTTCTCCTCCTGGTGCTGTGCACACCCTGTCTTTTTTTCTGACTTCTTTCCGCAGTAGGCTCGATCTCCAGCCCTTTCATCCAGGTGCCTTGGAGCCCTGCCTCTCGGCATGGGGAGCTGTCCTCCTCCACGCTCCTGTGCCTGGATTTGGTTCCCCTCCCTCGCTAGCCACCCCTTCTCTCAACCCGTTTCATGTTCCCGCGGGATGCATTCTGCTCATCTCCAGCTCTGTGCCCGTCTTGTGTCCTCTGCCCTGCCCTTTGCTATGGAATTCCCTCCGTTTTTTTGCCTTGGCCTTGACCATTTTGAAGAGGCATTGGCAGTCCACGGGGAGCCTCATACCCAGATTCCCAGCATTTTATGGCCACTTTTGCATTTTTAGTTTCAAGTGTGGGAAGAGAGTCCATTCTCTGTGTTTTAATTTTTGTCAGGAGCTGAGCTCCAGATTAAGACAAACAAATTCGTCCTAAAGCAAGAACCTGTGGAGGATGCAGGAGGCATTGCTGTGGTGTCCAGATGCCCTGTGGCAAGTGCTCCAGAGGGAGAGGAGCGCAGAGAACCCTCCGAGCAGCAGAGCTGGCTAATGAAGCCCTGTGTGAGATTCAAGAAGGAAGAGTCTGATTTCAGCCCCAGGGTAGAGAAAGAATCTGAAGCGTCAGGAGGAAGTGACTCTCTTGACATAAAACATGTGGCATATTTGAGAGTTTCCAAGAAAAAGCGATCCCTGAAACACGGCTGTGGCAGACACTTGCGGAAGAGTTCACACCACCGCGACTGTAAGAAATGCGGGAAGGGGCTCAGACACGAGGTGGGGGGCTTTGGCCTCCACCCGAGGGCCCATGCCGGGCTGACGGGGAGTGAAAAGGACACCCGTGGAAAGGCCTTCGGCCTCGGCGCTGCTCACCAGCACGAGCAGGGTCTGCACACAGCAGGGACGTTGTACAGGTGCCGGGACTGCGGGAGGACCTTCAAACGGAGCTCCCACCTCGAGTATCACCAGAGAATTCACAGCCAGGAGAAGCCGTTTAAGTGCAGGGTGTGTGAGAAAGCCTTCAGGTGGAGCTCCAACTGCATCCGGCATGAGAAGATTCACACTGGTGTGAAGCCGTACAAGTGCGGTGCGTGTGAGAAGGCTTTCCAGCGCCTGTCAGCCTACCGTCTGCACCAGGAAACCCATGCCAAGCAGAAAGTGGAGCTGGACCAGTATGAAGAGGTCCTCACCTACAACTCAGAGCTGGATCCGCATTTGAGAGACCAGAGTGGGGAGAAGCCCTTTGACTGCAGCCAGTGTAGGAAATCCTTCCACTGTAAGTCCTACGTCCTTGAGCATCAGAGGATCCACACGCAGGAGAAGCCTTACAAATGTGCCAGCTGCAGGAAGACCTTCCGGTGGAGGTCCAACTTCACCCGTCACGTGAGGCTGCACCAGGAACAGGAGTTCTGTGCACCAGATCCCTGTCCAGACAGCGGCAGCCCGAAGGACTTCTGTCAGCCGCAGGGGCCCCCTGTCGTGGAGAACACTTTCCTGTGTCAGCAGTGTGGGAAGACTTTCACTCAAAAGAAAACCCTCATTGAGCACCAGAGAATCCACACGGGCAAGACCCCGTACCAGTGTAGCGAGTGTGGGAAAGGGTTCACCTACAGGTCAGCCTTCATTGTTCACAAGAAGAAGCACGCCATTAAAAGGAAACCCGAGGGCAGGCCGACTTTCAGTCAGGACGTTGTGTTCCAAGTTCCACAGAGCAGCCATGTCCCGGAGGAGCCCCACAAGTGCAGCCAGTGTGGCAAGGCCTTCCGCAATCACTCCTTCCTTCTTATCCACCAGAGAATCCACACCAGAGAGAAGCCGTACAAGTGCAGGGAGTGCGGCAAGGCCTTCAGGTGGAGCTCCAACCTCTACCGACACCAGAGGCGGCACTCTCTGCACCGACAGTGCGAGCACCGTCAGAGTGACGAGCCTCCCAGCCTGTCGCCGAAGGCCCTCACTGACCAGAAACCTTTCTGGTGCCAAGAATGTGGGAAGACCTTCACCCGTAAAAGGAGTCTCTTAGACCATAAGGGCATCCACAGTGGAGAGAAGCGCTATAAATGCAACGTGTGTGGGAAGTCTTACGACAGAAATTACCGTCTTGTTAATCATCAGAGAGTCCACGCTTCAGAGAGGCCTTTTAAATGGGTGGGGAAAGAGTTCCTGGGGAGACACGCGCTTTCCATTCACCAGAGAAAACACCCCCGAGTAACACAGGCAGAGTGCGGCTCATCTGGGCTGTCATCCTTTCCGCACACCGGGCTGGGTGCACAGGAGTTAACACCAGCGGAAACAAAGCCCCTGGAGGAAGGCGAGGAGCCCTGTGACCAGCGCGCTGCGTTCGCGGGACTCCAGGACAGGCCTGCTGGCAAGAAGTGCCACAAGTGTAGCACGTGCGGGAAAGCTTTCAGCAAGGGTTCGCTGCTCCTCAACCATAAGCGCTTCCACACTCGAGAGAGGCCCTTCAAGTGCAGAGTGTGTGGGAAGACCTTCAGGTGGTCTTCCAACCTGGCTCGGCACATGAAAAACCATATTTGAGCGTAGCCTGGGACCTGCTGCGGATGGTGGGGGTGGTGGGGAGGGCGGTGGTCCTGGCCACCTGGCTGGGGAGCCCTCGGCTAGGCGGTGTGGGAAACCTTCACAAAGGGCCCAGCCCTTGCGGTTTCAGAAGCGAATGGCAGGCAATCGTGAGAATCTCCAGGCTCAGGGAGTTGCCGCGCCCACCTGCCAGTAAGTGGTAGGGGGAACAGCAGCAGCGGTTCTTGGGGGCCTTGTAGAGGCCCAGGGCTCCCCGGCCAGGTGTTCTGTATCAGCTAGGGAACGACCTGTACCCTCTGTGACTGGACAGAGTGAGGGCTGGTGGAGCCTCAGTTGCTCTCGGGTCTGGCTGTGATGGTGCCTGTTGTGTTGTCGTTGAAAGCAGGTGTTGGGAACTAGTCCTCCCCCGAGGTCTCCTGAGGCCTTCTGGCTGGCTCCCAGCTGTCTGCTGAAGGCCCCCCTCGTCTCTGCAGCTGGGGAGCTTCCCTCAGGACCCTTCCAGGAGGTGGTCTGAGTGGGAATTACAGTGTGCAAGGCTTAACCGCTGACCCCGGGCTCGGGGAAAATGCTAAGGCCAAGAGGTTTCTCGTGGTCAGCGCTGCGGCCAGTTCTCTGAGTAGAGTCCTGCACTGTGGTGTCTCAGCTTTTCTGTTGGCTTCCAGCCCGGCATGGCCATGGCCGCAGTGCTGCGCTTAGGTCCGCCTCTTCTGCCCGCTGCGGGTCTCCCCTCTGCAGCCCTCCTGCTTGCGGGTCCGGTGCTGGTGTCGGGCTCGGCCCAGAAGTGCTGTGCACTGCGGGCTGCCCTCGGAGCGGGGCTGGTGCGCAGGGCGCCCTCACTTGCCCACCCACTTGTGTGGAAGCAGAAAAGGTCACCGTGGTGGTGCAGAGGACTGACGTTTCTGAAGTGCGTGTGAGCGTTGCTTTTGAATGACTGAGGGCTTGGGGCCCGGGTGTAAGGCTGCGGTGCCTCGGCAGTGTGGCAGATCTCATCAGCTCACGGCTGAGCTGCCTGCCAAGCAGGGGCGCGCTCCCGGAGGGGAAGAAACCAGCCCGGCAGCATCCTGGGGTGGCTTGCTCAGTCCTCTGCCCGCTCAGCACTGCCGTGGGCCGGTGGGCGCGAAGGCGGTGCCATCGGTGGCGGCAGGAGCACGGATGGCGGATGGCCGGAGCAGGTGTCTTCTCTTGGCGTGCTGCTGTGTTTTCACCTGTGTCACCTCAGGTGGCCCTGCCATGCTCCTGCCTTTCTGCAGTGGAATTGAGTGTCCCATCACTGGAGCGGTGTCCTGAGTTCTGCGTGCTTTCGGCCAGGTCACGTTAAGAGCCTTGGAGTCATCACGCCTGGGCTCCAGACTCTGGGCTCGTTGGCCTTTTCCGAGCCCGTGACCTTGGGGAGCTGGCAGACCCTGCAGTGGCCTCTCCCGGTGTGTGGTGCAGCCGGCTGCCCTGCTGACTCCGGCACTGGAGGGCGTGGCTCGCCGAGGCTGTGGGTTGGGCGCTTGGGTTCTCGGGCCAGCGTTCTCCCAGCAGTGTTCCGGACCGTCAGCTGCGCCCCAGCCCTGGGAGTAGCCTCTTGTGTCTCAAGTTTCATTCCCCAGCTCCTGTGCTACCTGGTTCCTCATGAAGTTCCGGTCCCAACAGGTGTTTTTACTGCCATTTTTATAGAATGAGATCTTATTTTTCTACATTCCAGTTAGATTTTAAAATACACAAAGAATGAAGTCAAAACCAACAGATCCTTTTATACTGAAGTATTCCTGTTCTAGGATTGTGCTGCTGTCTGGTCAGTACATCTTAGTTCTGTAAGTGATAGTATTATAGAAATGTTAATGGACTCCTGACCTTGGGCATAACGACTGAACATTTTGGTGTAACCAGTATTGGCTTTGACTTCACCCCTACCCCGCCCACCCTGCCCCTTAGATTGTCCTGCCCTCGCCATCTCTCCTCCCACAGTGCCACCCCTCTGCTCTGGCCCAGGCCTTCACTCTCACAGCTGTGCCCATGCCCGGCCCTCACCCGAAAACCTGCTTCCCAGCCCCCCTCTTCGGGGCCATGTCCTGCCTCGTGACTTGTGCTCGGGTTTCTAGCTAATGCTTGTCACTGCAGCATGGCCATGCACTCTGAGCTGGGGTTGGGCACTTCCGTGCAGAGCAGATTATATATAACTTGTCTCTCTAAAGAACTTGAGAACTGAATTACTTCAGCCACGGTGGGGATGGAATGCTTTGACGTGCCCCCAGATGTCACGTTGGCCACCCTGCTGGTTAGAGGCCTGCTGTGGACTGTTTTGAGCTGTAGGACTCCAGTTGACACCATCTGGTTATCTCACCGGGGCACACACTCGGCCTGGGGAGCACGCAGGCTGCTTCCGGCCTGGCCTGCCTTCTCTCCGCTCCTGGGAGAACCGAGGCTGGGGATGGGGACAGCCAGATGGGCAGGGGCCATCCCAGCGCGGGGTGGGTGTTACCTGTGCGGCACGCTCAGCCCCTCCCTGACAGATGGTCAGATCAGGCAGAGATACTTGCAGAGGAGAAGGCAGGAGAAACGCAGAATGAGAGTGTCAAACACAAGTCAGTAAATTCTTGAAAGCCAGAGTGTGCCTGGCTAAGTGTGTACAACAACTGGAATTCACACTGCTTTGTGAGTGGCAGTTGTGACAGCTGCTGTGCCAAGCAGTTTACACCGGCGTGTGCAGTTGTGAGTGCTCTGCTGGCAGGTCCCCTCCTGGACACCGAGGTGGATGCCGTGTGAGGAAAGAGCTCCTCGTTGTAGCGCTGTCCAGGCGGCGGGTTGGGAGAAGTGCATGCCATCATCAGAAGAACCGGCAAACAGGTGGTGTTTTGTTTTGTCTTTTGGTACTTCAGGAAGTGAACTAGAGTTACAGCTTTCAATAGAGAAAGCTGCAGAAGGTGAACAGTGCTAGTCGCCTAAAGTTAAGCATCTGTGTGTCCTTGGGCATACGGCTTCTGCTGATTGGTGTTTCCCTTTTACTGTAAATGGGGTAGTAGCACCCGCCTCACAGGGGGAGGGGTAATTAATGAAATAATGCATGTACGGTGCTTAGAGTAGTGTCTGCGATGTACATGTTCTTGGTATATAGAAGACAGTGTTACTGTTTTGCACAACATATTTTCTGTGGATTAATGAGAATGTAGAGTCATGAATTGGAATGATGTAAGAAAGTTGCTGCTCTGCCTCCCAGGTTAGGAGAGGCCGATGGAATCGCAGAGGGTTTATGGGACTTCACTTGTTTCTTTGCTCATTCTCTCTCTCTCTCTCTCTCTCTCTGTCTCTTTCTCACCAGAATGCTAAGATTTAACATGTTAATGTGGGTTCTTTTTAACTCCTTCAAAATATATCAAAATAAAGAATTTTAAAAGATGCAGTCCTGTGTCTTACGATTAATAAAAACTTCAACTCTGCCATTTACAAGTTACTTAGAACAAACTACTTGATTCTTTTTTTTTTTTATTTTAAAGAGTAAAAGAAGGATAACAATAATAGGAGGGGCTTACCAAATTACAGACAAAAGTGGTAGGAAATTATCAATGGTTATTGTTTTACATATTGTTATCTATAAGATAGTTTGTCAGGAAAACAAATAGACAAATGATAGTGAGTTACAGACAAAAGAGGAGGGGGATTATCAATAGTTGTTGTACTATACTTAGGTATCTTCAAAGTGGCTTCTAAAGAATATAAATAGAACTATACATGAGTGACCTACTGAATAATCATTCAATAATTCTCAATGGTTGTTGTAGGAAACACATAATAATAAACTTGGATCCATTTATGAAATAGGATAGGAACAATACAAACATTACAGAGTTATGGATAGATTAGTAGGAAAATATCAATGACTGCTGTAATACATGGTGGTATCTTCAAAGTGGTTTCTCAGGAAGACAGAGATACACAAGAAGGATCTAACAAGTAGTTACAGCCTAAGGGTTGTCAAAAGTCAAGAGAGTCGTCTGGGGCGAAAGCCATTTTTTGTAGCGTTTTCTTTCCAGCCTCCCATTGCATTTGGGCCCCACAACCAGTTAGTGTCCTCTCCCCAACTGTCAGCACAGGCAGCAGGAATCCTGCTGCAGACTTCTCCGGAGCTCCACCACAGCCTGTACTGTCATGGGAAGAATGGCTTCCAGGGAGTCTCCCCAGGTATTGTGCAAGGTCCTCCTGGTTTACAGCTTCCGAGCGGCTCTTGTGACCCCAGTCCACTGGACCTCTGACTCCATGGGCTTAGTCTGCATTCTCATGTTCTCTGAGTCCTTGTTCAGCAGCTGCTCCTCTGCTGGCTCTGGACCTTTCTGGTTCTCAATAGCAGGAGCAAGAGTGGCCCGTTGCATGGCACGTATTCCCAGGGGTTGTTCGAAGTTTCAATGATTCACACACATCCGTGGGTGGGCATCTGCAGCCGGTGCATGGTGGGCCAATTGTATCACTGTTTCTCTGTGTCATGATCTCAATTGAGCGGTGGTGGCCGGCCTAAGGGCCGGTGCGCAACAGCGCTTGCCACAGCATTGCTCCGCATGTGCTGGGGGCCCTCCTTCCGGGGGCCTACGAGGCAGGAAGCTAGCCAGCCGGAAGACCGGTGCTCCCCGCCCGTGGCTCCCTGTGCGCCGGAAGCCCTCCTTCCCGGGGCCTACGAGGCCAGGAGTGAGCTGCCGGTCCAAAGACTGGCGCTCCCCACCTGAGGCTCAAACTACTTGATTCTTAAGGCTTTAGTGTCCTTACTTGCCAAGATGTTATGAAAGGGACAGACAACTGCAGTGGTTTAAAAGAGCATGGATGTTCTGTGTGTGCCCAGGGTACACAGGTATCTAAGTAGGGAGGAGCAGAAATGCCGGGACGGCAGCAGCTGCTGCAGTGGCCAGCACCCCAGGACCGACGGCTTTGTAACAGCATCTGTCCCCATTTTCAGTGTGCTGTTTGCTGACTGCTCTTTATTTTCATACCGGGAATCAAACTCTCAGGACCTTGCCCTTGCCAGGCAGGTGCCTGTGCCACCGAGCGAAATCCCTGGGAGTTGCTTGGGGCTCTTACACCCTCCTCGCGTGCTGTCCCGTATCGGGGCATGCTGGCGAGAAGGCCCGTGGACTCCCTCAGAACACCAGAGGGGAGTCTACACTGCGAAGCTCGGTTCCTGGAGTGCACTGAGCCCTTGTCGCGTAACCGCAGTAACCAGAGGCACTCTGCCCTCTTTGTTCCAGCTGTTACCTAGCAGCAGGGGGTTCTTTTGCTCAATTTGGACGGAAGTCATGAATAGGCAGAGTCACTCCCTTAGTGTTCGAACCTCTACATGTTGAGCACCAGTAACTTGGCTCCCAGCGTTAGCAGCTGGAGCCCCAGCTTCCACTCGCCCTCCGCCAGCAGCCAGAGGAGCTGACAGCCTCCCAGCAACTGTTTTGCTTTTGCTCGGTCACCAGTCTTGGCTACTGGGCTCCGTGTTACCCGTTAGTGCAGCGAGCTGCCGTGTGTGCGGGAGAGATCGTGAACAGGCCAAAGGAAACCAAGAGGCTCCCGCGCAAAGGGAGGCGGTACACGGGCTGACCTAGTAAGGGTCAGGGGAGGCCCGCTTTGTGTAGAGCAGCCAAGGTGGGTTCACGTGTGTGCAGTGTGTAGTCGTGGGTAGCAGAGGGGCTCCTCAGACTGGACTGGGACATCTGAAGCTGGATACATCAGAAGTACCTCGGGGGGTCATTGGCTTTTCATCTTGAGGTGGAAGCTGACCGGCCCGGCTGCCTGCCCTGCTCTCACAAAGCCTCACTGAGCTCTGTGTTGTTGTCACTTGGCATGTGCAGTCTCACCGGTCTCAGCATCAGCAGTTTGGGGTGGTAGTGTCTGATGCCATCTTTCGGGGGCAAACCACAGGAACAGGAAGGAAGGGTGGTGGCTAAGATTGGCCAGGGCTGGAGTGGCACAGTGGCCTTGTGGAGCAGAGCTCAGACCCATGGGGGAAGGAGCCCTCCAAAGGGTCTCAGAGGAGGAGCTCGCTGGCCTTCAGGGCTGGGCTGCTGTGGCATGGCACCAGCTGCTGCTCCGGTTCCCTTTGCCATGATGCTGAGAATGAACCGCGGAGGAGACTGGCTTCTGGTTTCAGCCCCGTCACTCACTCGGCTTTGCAGCTTTAAGGCAGCAGAGCACGGCAGCAGCATATGGGGCTGTAAGGAAGGGGGCTGGGGTCCCATTGTCCCCGTCAGGGACCCAACTGCCTCCCACTAGGCCAACTTCTTCGAGGTTGCACCGGCCTGTAGCTTCCCCCAGAGCCACGGTCCTTTGGAGGCCCCTCTCCAAACCACAGCAGTGGTAGCGTTTGTCCTCCCGGCTCGGTATTACACTCGGCAGAACCTTCAGGTGAGTCTGCTGCCCACACGGTACAGCAATGCTGAAAACTAGTTTACAGTCGCGTCATTCGCAGCAGTGTTGCTTCCAGCTGAAGAAATTCCAGGAGCATTTAATACACTGAAGCTGCATTTGCCTGGAAGAGCCAGATGGTTCCAAAATAATCGTGTCCAGGGTAGCCTAAAAAGACTGTACACAGTAGCGTTCCTGGGGGAGCCCCACTTCCAGTTTGCGTGCGAGTGGACGTGGAACGCGTGTCTGTACCCAAGACGACACAAGCCTGGCAGAGAAGGTGGGAGAAGTGAATCGGGGAGGTTCACGCTGGCCTCTGGAGTCACAGGAGAGTTCTGGCACAGCGCAGTGCCCTGTGGAAGTGAGTGTGCACCGGAGACTTCCGGGAAGATGGAGTGGCGAGCAGCTAAGCTGCTCTGAGAGTCAGAGTCCAGACCCTGGAAGATGGGGAAGAAAAAAGTAGATTCCCAGGAACCAGGAAGGATCTGACAGGATTAAAACCTACAGAGAAATTGAAGAGACCGATGTGAACATACTCTCTGAGGAGAATCATGACCTGAAAGAACAAAACGAAACAAAAAAATGCCCGTCACTCTTCACCCCGATGCAGGACTCTAAAATAGTTGATTGTGAGAGTCAGCCAGCACTTACAGCACAGCTCCAGGTAAAGCAGAGCTCAAGACGTAGCCCCTCTCTCCCCCTGTAAGATTTCCCCAGTGCCAGGGAAGCAACCCTGTGGGCAACCCATCCTTCAGGAACGCGGTCTTGTGTGTTCTCACCGTGGTCCTATGCTTTTTTTTTTTTTT